CCCCTGCCCCATTCCCTGCCCCCCTGAGCCAGCCAGTCCCTGCCCTGGGGCCAGATCGGAGCCAGCGCCCCCTAGAGGGGACAAGCCCCGTGTCCCATTCCCCACCCCCTGAGCCAGCCAGTCCCACGCCTTGGGGCCGGATGGGAGCCGGCGCCCCCCTAGAGGGGACAGGGCCCATGTCCCAGTCCCTTAAGCGGTTCAGCGCCCGCTTTTGAAGATTTCCAGCCCGTTGTCCCTTCCCTCAGCCCTGGGCGGCCCCGACTCACCAGTCTCCTGTAGATGAAATTGGCCAGGGTGGCGGACGCCCCAGAGCGGAAATATTTCTTGTATTCCTTCCGCGTCTGCAAAGGGAGACGTCCCCGTGAGCAGCCTCGTGGTGGGCCGGGGCGAGAGACGGGCCAGGCGACGGGGGGGAATCTGCCTCTCTCCTGGCTAACCTCTCCTGGGCTCCGCGCTCCCTCCCCGGCTGCCCCAGACCATCCCCGGAGAGCCCCCGTCCCAGCTGGGGCCGGGCTCTGGAGCGGGGCAGGGAGCGGAGAAGACAAGCGGCCCCCAACCCCACAGGGGGCCAGGGCGGAAAGACAGGACAGGCCCGGGACAGCGCGAGAGAGGCAGGCGCAGACCAGCTGGCAGGGAAAGTGCCTGGCATTGGGCCCGGTATCGAGTCAAGAGCCGAGCACGCGTTAAACTGGGCACTGGGTGCCCGATGGCTCCCCGGCCGCGCCCCGAGCGGGGAGGTGAGGCCCGGCCGCGGGGTGGACGTGGGCAGAGGCTGACCGGAAGCCACGGCACAGAGGCCCCAGCGGGGCGCTGGGCCAGCGCCTGGCCTGCTGTTACCTTGTACCCTTTCCAGTAGGCAGAAATAGTGGCCGCGGCCTGGCTGCAGCGTTGCTGGTGCTTCAGCTCCCGCAGGAGCCTACGAGACTGCGGAGAGGGAAGGGCGAGAGGTCAGAGCCCCACCGGAGCCCTGAGGAGGAGGAGGAGGAGGAAGGCCAGACAGACGCGGAGAGACAGAGCGAGAGACTCCAAGGAGCCCGGCCCCGGGAGGAGCGACTCGGGCGGGGCACTGGCCAGGTCCTGTAGGGGGCGGTGTGCTCCGGTGAGGCCGTACCCCCCGGAATCACAGCCCCCCTGGGGTCAGTCCAATGCAGCCTGCCTCTTACCGGGGCTCTGGTACCAATCTGCCCCCTGCCCACCCCTCTCTCGGGCACCCCAAGAGCGCCGAGCACCCACGTCCCACTCGTCCCGCGAAGATCCCCGGCGAACGTTTCCACCACGCAGGGCCAAACCTTGGTGCCTCCCTCACGCTGGCCAAACGCCCGCTGCCCACCGGGCCCCGCCGCCTTCCCGACGGCTCGTCCCCCACGAGCGCCTGCAGGCCCCGTGGGCTGGCGGCCCGGAGAGAAGCTGGCTGGGGGGGGCTCTCCGGGAGGCACTGGCCCCTCACCTTCCATCCCCGGACCCAGGCCTGGATCAGCAACGTCGACCTCTTCATCTGCTTGAACCGCTTCTTTTGCTGCAAAGGGGAAAGTCCGGGTGTCAACGGGCGACGGCGGGCGGGGCGGGGAACTCGCGTGGCGCTGACTAGGTTGAGATGCCAGTGAGGGCCGGGCACGGCTCCCCGCGGCCGGGCTCTGGGGGCCCTGAAGACCTTTCCCCCGGGGCCCGTCCTGGTGGGTTTGCACCACCCCCCCGGAGCAGCCCTGCGTCCGAACGGAGGGTTCAAGGGGCAGGACGGTCTAAGGCGGGGATCCCGGACTCCTGGGTCCTAATCTCGGCTCGGCCGCAGACTTTGGGCAAGGGGACGATCCTCCGTCCCTCACCCGCGCCGTGGGGCAGGGCCTGGCTTGCGTCCCTCCCTCCGTGTCTGGGCGCAATGGGGCCCTGATCCGGGCCGGGTAACCCACCTAAGAAATTCCCCTCGGGAAGTGGCGTTCGCCTGAGCAAACTCCCGCCCGGGTCAGGGAGGGGCCCCGATCCAGAGCAGGTGGGAGGAGGGGAGAGCAGCCAAGCTAAGGGCCCCCCCCGGGGCTGAGGGGAAGCAGGAGGAGACTGGGGGTGGGGAGTTACCGCCTGTCCCCGGAACCAGGCCGAGATGACGATCTGGCTCTTGCGCATCTGCTGGTAGTGAGTGCGGCACCTCCAGCCGCGGTAGGTGGCCTGGATCAGCGAGGCCAGATCAGCCATGCGCAGCCGGCGCCTGTCCTCCAGGTCGAAGAGCTGGGGGGGGGGGGCCCCAGGAGGGTCAAAGCCAGGCAGGGGAGCCAAGACGCCCCCCCCCGAGCATGTTAACCCTTCCGGTGCCGCCTGCGGCAGGAGCACGCGGACACCCCCGCCACGGAAGGGGTCGGCAGGGACCTTTCCCTGGCATCTGGTCTGAGCTCGTGGTCCCCCCCTCTCTCCAGCCCTGGACACCCCACGGCCCAGCCCCCAGGCCAGTCACCCTCTCTCTCGGGACGCCGGCTGGAAAGGCCAGGGGGCAGCACTTGGCATTGGCAGCTGGACACGCCCCAGACCGGGGGGCGGCTGCCCCCAAAGCAGAGGGGGGATCTAGCTAGAGGGAGGCTTGGGGGCACAGCCCCTGCCCCCTAGCGCCCCCCAGCAGGGGGGAACGTCCCCGGCTCGGGTTGTTCCACTGCCCCCTCCCCAACCAGGGGTCTTCCCATGCAACCCCCCCCGTCTCGGATTAGCCCCTTCCCCTCCCCCCGCCCCCGCCCCCCAGGGCCTCACGGTGCGTGGGGTGCGGATGAAGATCTTGGTGCGCCCGTACGCCAGCTCCGCCAGGGGGATGCACAGGTCGGTCAGCAGGGCCTGGACGCCGTCCCTGCACCAAACACTGGGCTCAGGTTCCTGCCCCCCCACCCTCCCCTGGCGCCGGCAGGAAACTCCCAGGGGGAAGCGCTGGGCCCCAGGAAGACACCCCACTGCAGGAGCACGGGCAGGGGCGGGGCCGGCAGGGGGGGGCCCAGGCCAGGGTGGTGACCCACGAGAGGGGGGCAGCGCCATGGGGCTGAGCCGGTCGCTGCTACGCCCTCCCCCCCCGGGCACTGCCAGCGCCTCTGCTACCTCCCGCCCCCCAACACTCCCTGCGTGGGGCTGACACCTCCCCACCCCAGCGCTCCCCTTCTCAGCATCCCCCCACGGGGGGCACATCCAGCTCCCCTCCCAGGCTGCCCCCCACCCAGCAGGGTGCTCCCAGCCCCCACAATCCCCCTCCCCGTGCTCCTCGCCCCCCCTACCTGGCACCCCCCTTCCACTTGGGCCAGGTCTGCTTGCAGAGCATCTTGTAGCGCTCCAGGCACGGCTCGTAGCCCTGCCGGTAGGCGTAGCCGGCCCGCCGCACCCGCACGTTCTCCAGGAGCCCCAGGTACCGGACCTGCATCTGCACCAGCCCGTCCGTGAACACGCCAGGCTCTTTGTTGTCGTTGGGTTTGATGCACCTGAGTCGGAGAGGGGAGGAGGTTAAAGACGGCTCCGCTGTGTGTCAAAGCCCCTGCACTGCTCACAGCCAGGGAGATTCTCCCATAGTGCCTGGGTTTGAGAGCGGCAGACGCTGAGCTCTAGCCCTGCTCCCACCCCCGTCCCTGGCCACCTGATGTAGTTGGGGTTCTTGGAGTACAGGTTCTTCATGAGCGTGCCGATGGAGGCCTTGAACTGGGAGCCGGCGGTGGGGGGGCGCCGGAGGGAGGCTTTCTGGGGGTCCCCCTCGGGGAAGAGGGAGCGCAGCAGTTCGTGCCGAGCTTTCCACATGGCCTGCGAGAGGTCGCGGAACAGCAGGTCGTTGTTCTTCTCCACGAACCCCGTCACGTTGTAGGTCACCTGCGGGGGGAGGGACCCAACGTGTCACTGGCAGGGGCTCCCCTAACTCCCCAGGGCCAGAGTCTCCTGGCTCCCAGCCCGCTCGCGGCTTTCCTGCTCTAACCCCTAGACCCCACTCCCCTCCCAGAGCCAGGGACAGAACCCAGGAGTCCTGGCTCCC